TGATAAACAATTAATTATTTTTTGCCAGATCCAGCCAACAGTTTTAAAATTTTTAATTATTCATAAATAGTTATATAAAAATAATTATATATGAATGAATGTATGTTTAAGCGTATGTTTGCATTCTTAGTATAGTTTATTCAATTATGTATGTGTGTGTGTGTATGTATGTGTGTGTGAGTGTGTGTATGTGTGAGTGTGTGTGTGTGTGCAACTATGTAGGGATATTTGGTTAGCGTTTTTTACAATTAGCCTGATAGCTAATTGTCGCTACTGCCTTGTAGATGTTGTTATTATTATTATTATTATTATTGTTTGTATTATAAGGCCTCTACTACTACTACTACTACTACTACTACTACTACTACTACTACTACTACTACTACTACTGCTACTACTACTACTACTACTACTACTACTACTACTACTACTACCACTACTACTACCACTACTACTGCCGCTACTACTACTGCTACCACTACTTCTACTACTACTACTGCTACTACTACTACTACTACTACTACTACTACTACTACTACTACTACTATCAATACTGCTGCCGTTTTTGCTGCTACTGCTACTACAACTTCACGACTAGAACTTTGTAAGTTCAAATCTTTATTTAATTAATCATATTCTAGCTATTCAGTTATTTGGAAATGTTATTTTCACATTTAATGTAATAAAATCACACTAAAACAATTGTAAAAAAAATTATTCACATTCCTCACATTTTTTAATTTATAAAGTAAGGTGAGACGAATCATGAAGTAATTATGAAATAGTAAAGAAAATCATTAAAAATGTTAAAATCTACCAATACATTTCCATACTTAATTATCTATTTTCCAACTTATTTATTTCTTGCATCTATCTAATATCTTTCTTTTACGATCATGAAGTTGGCGAGATGATTCTACGACTTCTCAGCTGTCATGCCTGAAATTAGTGTTTTTACAATCGCTTCTTTTTTATGCTTCTTTATCTTTTAAACTAAGCGAATCATAAAATTGGACGGGCCCATGGTATATAAATCCGGGCGACAGGTGGTCTCGATGAAAATTGAAAAGTTTTTTCCAGCCGGTTCTCTGTTGTGTCAAAGTTATATTTTTTAATTCTGGCAAAGTTGGATTTGAATACTCAAACCTGTTTTCAGTCATCGATTGTACAAAGTTAGTTTGTGAGAATTGCATTGTTTGTTTTTCATTTGCATGGTTTTCTGTTTCCAATATTTGATTATTAATTATTTAACAATCTATAACTAATTGTTATATAATTTAATTATTAAATTCATGTTCATTCCACACTGCATGGCTGCTAATTAAATTTAACTTTTGATATCTGATTAGATGAAATAATTTTTTTAATTAATTAAATTTAGTTTCTTTGACCTACTCTACTTGTAGGCATCTTTATTTCATAATTGTAAAACAACATTTAATTACAATATAATATGGCAGTGCCACAGCAAATTAATTTTACTTCACCTGAAACATTATTATTTCAGGTAAAATTATATTTTCATACCCACCTAATTGACATTTTTCAGAAAAATGAGCAGTGATCTCACGTTTATGGACTTGTCTGGCTTGGATGCCAAAGCTGTTCAGCAGATTCAGAAGATATTAGACGGTGCCTCACTCGATTCGCTTATAGTTTGTATTCTTTGGTAGATTTGTAGATGCGCCATTTTATATCTATCTATTGATGGTAGGTGTTCATTTTTTTCAATGTTAACAACTTAAACCTCATTTAGATTGGTGGAAAAAGTAGACTAAGCAGGCCAGTGAACAACAACATTAGTGGGAAGGGCCCAGATCAGCCGTGCACTGTATACAATAATCAACCTGTCAGCAACAACATCAGCAAAGATGAGGTTGATCACATCAACAAGGGTAACATCAATAGCAATAGTATGTTGCTGGAAAACAGCGACAGCAACAACAACAACAGTGTTTTCAACAAGCAATATGAGATGAACAGTGAGTTTGTTGCCAACAGGCTTCAAGTTGGCCCTCAAAATGGAATTACTGTCATCAACAAAAACGACATCAACAAAGACATCAACTCGAATGGCATCATCAACAGCAACAACCACACACCAACGACAGTAATCAATAAAGATAGCTGCAACACCACAAACAACAACATCAACAAGAACACTACCAGCATCGACACCAGCTCAAGCACCGTCAACAACACCCCCACGACCCCCAAGACATGGGCCTCATTACTCAAGCCCTCCGAACAAAGCCCCCCCTGCAACAATAAAACCTTCCCAAAGAAGTCTACCCCACCACACAGCAACAGCAGCGCCATCAGTGATAAGATGGATGCTGCGAACGGCAACAACGAGTTGTCAACATTCGAATACAATGTCACTTGCGATGCGTACGTTGACGAGAGGTCTATTGACAGGCTAAACAGTAAGTTTTTAAATATCTGCTACTTTAAATATACCGTGTCTTCATGCTGTATTAGTAAGGTAGCTGGCACTGATGTCACAGTGGCCTGGTTTGAGTTCAAACAAATTCTTCCTTGCCTAATCCCATGCAACGTGTGTGATATATGTGTGTGTATACGCACATACTGTGCGCATGTATGTGAGAATTAATTTTGAAAGAGAAATTACTCTAATTAATTAATTTTAATTAATATTATTTACATAATTACTAATTACGTTCCCTCGTGTAATCCAGAAATCGTCAGGAGCCACATAGTTTCATCTCAGGTCGAGCAGATGGTACCTAGGGGTTTCACCAACAAATCGAACAGATGCTATGCCAACTCGGTTGGAACCTTTTTTAAGAATTCGTTTTGTCTCATCTATTTTCCATATTTTTGGTATCAGTTTAGTACCATTCGGTACTTTGTGTAGTTCCCTTGTAGTTTTTTTAGTCCTGCGCATTCGCTGCATATCTATCTAGATTCATTTTTACAATATTGTTTTATTAATTGAGCAAGTGTCCTCTAATTCTTTGGTAATAAGATAATTAGCATAATTTATTCACCTTTGGTAATAATATTAGATAGATAATTAACATAATTTATTCACATTTGGTAATAATATTAGATAGATAATTAGCATAATTTATTCACCTTTTCGCCACCGTAGACATTGCAAGCCCTTCTCAGCTGCTCTCAGTTCGGCAGCTTTATGTCATCCATCGCGAGCACAGATTCAAAAATTATGGCACACCTCAAGTTGCCTGTACTGAAGTTTATGTTAGTATCTTTGTTTCATTCATTTGTGTTTCTTTCTATCTAATCTAATTATTTATATATTTCTTCATTCAATCATTTGTCATTCATTCCTTCATTCATCCATTGAATCATTCATTCAATCATTCATTCAATCAATCAACTAACCAACCATTATTAAACAAATTCTACAGGCTAGACATATACACCAAATTGGAACCAATGGAGACGTCAACACCTCGACCACCGGCAACATCTCAGCCACCACCACCACCACAACAACCACAGCAACAACAACAGCGTAAAAACAGACAACATCAACAAAAGCAGCATCAGCAGCCACAACAACAACAAAACCATCAAAGACAACAACAACAACAGATTAATATTGGCTCACCTATTGAGACCAACCTAAAAGAAATTCTGGAAAACATCAGCTATAAAGTATTTGAGGTGAGTTTACCGGTTGATTGGTTGGTTAGTTAGTTGTTTGGTTGCTTGGTTAGTTGATTGATTGGTTGGTTGCTTAGTTGGTTGGTTGATTGATTTAGTCGATTGTTTAAGCAAAAGCAAATTCCTGGTTGGTTGATGAGTTGTAGTACATCAATGATTGGTTGATTGAAAATTAGTCATCATCATAATCTTAACAACAACAACAATACAATAATAATAATAATTATTGTTTTAATTATAATTATTTCAATTATTATTATTATTCTTACAGCTGAATCAGCAAGAGGACGCTGAAGAGTTTCTCAGTTGCATACTGAACAAGATGCACGAGGAACTAATCAACCTGTGCCTCATAAAATACGGTGAGTTTTGATTGGTTGGTTGGTTGATTGATTGATTGATTGGTCGATTGATTGATTGGTTGGTTGGTTGGTTGGTTGGTTGGTTGGTTGATTGATTGGTTGGTCGATTGATTGATTGATTGATTAGTTGGTTGATTGATTAGTTGGTTGATTGATTGATTGGTTGGTTGGTTGGTTGGTTGATTGATTGATTGATTGGTTGGTCGATTGATTGGTCGATTGATTGGTCGATTGATTGATTGATTGATTGATTGATTGATTGATTGATTGATTGATTGATTGATTAGTTGGTTGGTTGATTGATTGATAGATTGATTGGTTGGTTGATTGATAGATTGATTGATTGATAGATTGATTGACAACAAAACAAACACATTAACAGATTTTAAAAGAGCTTTCAACAACAACAACAACAACAACAAGGATAATTATCACAATTATGAATATAATGGCGATTTACACAACAACAATGGAGGCGGTGGTGCTGATGATGATGATGGTAATAGTAATAGTTGGCAGCAGGCCAGACCTAGGAGCAAGTTGGCCAACACTGTTGACCCTGTAAGTTATTGATTGATTGAATGGAATGGAGTGGAGTGGAATGGAATGAAATTGAATGGAATGACATGGAATGGAATGAAATTGAATGGAATGGAATGAAATGGAACGGAATGAAATTAAATGAAATTGAATAAAATGAAATGAAATGAAATAAAATGGATGAAATTGAATAAAATGAAATGAAATAAAATGGATGAAATAGAATGGAATGAAATGAAATTGAATGGAATGAAATTGAATGGAATGAAATGAAATTGAATGGAATGAAATTGAATGGAATGAAATTGAATAAAATGAAATGAAATAGAACGGAATGAAATGGAATAGAATGAAACGTCATAATTTTCATCATCACCACCACCCCCATCATCATCACCATCACCAATGTCACCATTATTTTGATCGTGCCCAACCGTGCAGTCGATGCTAGAGAGGTCTGCTATCTCGGATATCTTCCGGGGACAAGTGGCCTACCTGTTGGAGTGCCCCGGTCAGAAGGACTCCCTCACCCTACAGCCCTTTATCACTGTTCAGCTAGACGTTCAGGTTTGTGTCTGTGTATGTGTGTGTGGATGTGTTTGTGGGTGTGTGTTTCTGTGATGTGTGTGTATGTGTGTGGTGTAGATATGTTTGTGTGTGTGCGTGACTAGTTGTGTGTAATAATAATAATAACAACAACAATAATAATAATAATAATGTTCCCACACAATCAGCACCAATCGGTGACTTCGGCCCAGGAAGCACTGAGGAGGTTCGTAGCAAGGGAAGCTGTCACCAACTATACCAACTCCTCGAAAATCAAGGTTAGCGTTCTTCTTATTATTCTTATAATTCATAATAATTATAATAATGCACCTATAATTCACCAATGCATGAATGGACAGTTTTGCCAACAATTTGGTTGGCAATTCATCGGGATTGTTGCAAGAAGTGCATCTTATTGTGTATTCTAAATCGTCATTAACACTAACAATTCACCAACAATTCACTGATAATTTATTACCAATTATTCACTAACAATTCACCTACAATTTTCGAACAATCCACCATAATAGTCCACTAACAATTCACCACAAATCCACCAAAAATTCACCATGACTCCACTAACACTTCGCCAACAATTCACCAACAATTCACCAACAATTCACCCAGGTCGACGCCACAAAACGTACCTTGTTTGACGTTCTACCAAAAGTTCTTGTACTGCATTTTAAGTGGTTTAAGTACGATGCCAAAGGAGGACTGCTTAAAAACACTAAGCAGTTTTATCTGGATGAATGTCTCGAGATACAAGATGGTTTGTATTTGTTTGTTTGTCTGCATGTGGTTGTATGTGTTTGTGTGCTTTTCTCTCTCTCTCTCTCACATACAATGATAAAAATATATATATATATATATATATATATATATATAAGTTATATTAAAGGTTAAGACCATTTTGCTCATTGTGAAGTTAAGTGCAGAACGGTGAAATATATTTAATTAGCATCATAGCTTGTTCCTGTCATAGCAAATAATAATAATAATAATGATAATAATAATAATGATAATAATAATAATGATAATAATAATAATGATAATAATAATAATGATAATAATAATAATAATAATAATGATAATAATAATAATGATAATAATTATAATGATAATAATAATAATAATAATGATAATAATAATAATAATGATACCCGCCCCCACAGACTTAATGACCCCGCATTCGAGTAGAAGGATGGCAGCCCACATGAAGAAGTACGAGCTGTTCGCTGTGGTAACGCACATCGGCTCGCAAGCCGTCGGTGGCCATTACTACACTGACGCCTTCCACAAGGGCTACATGCAGTGGCTGAGGTACGACGACGAGAAGATACATAAGGTTTGTTTTCTATGGGATGGTGGCTTCATTGTTTGTTTGGTTGGTTGGTTGATCGATCGATTGTTCGTTTGATTGATTGAATGGTTGATTGATTTAATAATTGATTGATTGTTTGTTTGATTGATTGAATGATTGTTCGATTAATTGTTTGATTGATTGATTGCTGGTCAGTCAAGTTTTCAAAAGAAAAATTGATTTTGTAAAAAATCAATCTTCGTTTTGCGTCCAGAGACCCGGTTTCCCGAGGTAGGAAACATTAAATTTGACATTAAATTTATAAACCAAATTTAATGTCATAAATGACAAATCAATCAACCAACCAATCAATCTTTCAACTATCCAGTCATTCAACCAATAAACTAACTAACCAATCAACTAACTAACTATTCAACAACTAACTAACCAACCAACCAATCAATCAACTAACTAACTAGCTTTACTAACCAATCAATCAATCAATCCAGGTAAAAATGTCTCAGGTGTATAACTACAGCCACCCGCGCGTCCCATACTTGGTTTTCTACAAGCAACAAGAGTCATCTTCATCATCATCAGCATCTTCATCACAGCCTCAACAACAACAACAACATCGTCGTCGTCGCTAATGATGATAATGACGTCATCAATAACAACAATAATGTAATCTATAATTTGAAGGTGTTATTATCATTATTATTATTAATATCGTATCATCATCATCATGTATTACCATTCAAAGGTTATATATGTGTAAATATATATATATATATATATATATATATATATATATATATATATATATATATATAGACGGATGTGTTGTCTAGTATGTTTGTGTATGTATATATATTTGTTTGTTTGTATGTTTGCATTCTTTGTACCATTAGCATTATTAAAACAGATCTAACCTGTTACCAATGTATGCTATTGTTATTATTTTTTGTATTTGCTCTCCGCTATTATTATTATTATTATTATTATTGTATAATTTTTATCTGCTATATGTTTTTGAAATGTCATATATATGTGTATATATATATATATATATTATATATATATTATATATATATATATATAATGAAAATCACTTGAATGTTAAGTTTGCATTTAGAGTTTATTATTATTATTATTATTTATTCCCATCATCATCATGGCTTATATGAACGTGTAAATAATAAACGTATCGGCGAGTTAGGAGTTCTTAATTAATTAATTAATTAATTAATTAATTGATTGAATAACAAATAATTTGGTAAATTAATTAACGCATAATCATAATAATAATTATTGTTATTATTCGATCGTTTATTGTTGCTGACGATTTCAGTTAATGAGTGGGTGAATGAATCAATGGATGAATGAAATCCGGTTCGTTGATTGATTGATTGAATGAAATTGTAAATAATAAATAAAAGAATGAAAGAAAAACAACCCAAACGATTAACTGAGTGAGCGAATAAAAGAATGAATGAATGAACTGACTACATGAACTCAGCCAATTGGCACTTTTCGTCTGATTTTATCAATAAAAAGTTAATAACTGACCATTTTACATATACGTATGTATTGTACATATATATATATATACATATATGTAATATACAATATATATAATATGGTATATTATATATATGTATATATACTGTTTGCGTGTGTGAAAAGCATTCGTTAGTGCATTCTTAATTTTAGAAAGACGAACTGCTATATATTTTTTTTTGTTCGTATATGGTTTTCTTTTTTAAATAATAATAATAAATGGAACTTTTTTAAAAAAATAATAATAAATCAGGCCTTTTTCGCTCTCTTTGATATAAATATTTATTAATCATTAATTATTTCTATTTATAAACCACGAGCTGAATTTGAACGATATTTTTAGACAAGAAATATCTTCGTAAAGTGTGAAATATTATTATAAAGTATTATATATATAAAGTATCCATGTAACGTAAAAACAAAGTGTACAAATTTCAGTATTTTTTCGGAATCCAGTTTTTCAAATTTTGGTACTTTTGCGGGATCCAGTTTTTCAAATTTTAGTATTTTTCCTGAATCTAGTTTTTCTAATTTTGGTATTCCTGAATCTAGTTTTTCTAATTTTGGTATTTTTGCGGGATCTAGTTTTTCCAAGTTTCGAAATCTAGTTTTTCGAATGTTTGGGATCTAGTTTTTTAAATTTTGGTATTTTTTCGGTATCTAGTTTTACAAATTCTTGTATTTTTCAGAAATCCAGTTGATAATAGATGATAATGATGGTGTCTTTCTAAGAGAGTTTAGTCGATAGGATCGGATGAAAAACACGGACGTGATAACGAAAATACAGGCGATGGCGGAACGAATTTTAACCTACTATTACTGCTACGTTAATAAATGAAAAAAATGACATTTTTTAAGAACTACATATCATGATATCAATCCAAGAATGATATATCATGATATCAATCCAAGAATGATATATAATGATATCAATCCTCGCTTAGAGTCTTAAGTCTCTATCCATTGTGGCTTAGACTTATTAACGTATAAGACGTATTAAACCAGATGGGACCAAAAAAGGAGAGGATTTTATCATTCTAGTAAAATGGAACTGAAACAGAAAAATAACAATTAGAAAAAACAATTAGAAAAACAGCAACAATAATAATAACATTATCAACGTCATCAATTAACTCCTAGGTCAATGACCCAAATAGTTTTTAATCAAGGTAAACGACCCATTTAATAAGGGTCCGCGACCCGTTTAGTAAAGGCCCGTGACCTATTTATTAACAGCTTCGTCGGCAACCAGCAGCTTGACCCAGTTATTTAGCTGATCGACCTTGACCTTGTTCCAGACGGTGACGTCAGAGAGGGCTAGAATGCGGAGGGCATTGAGGGCAGCCGTCTCCGGGGCGAGGACTGTAGTGCAAGAAAGTCCTAAGAGATGGGTAAGTGGAGTATGTTTGGATCAACCAATTAGAAAATAGAAGAATTATTATAACCAAAAAAAAACCACCACAATTATTATAATTAAAATAATCATAATAACAACAATAGCGAAAGTTTTTCACCAGAAGGCAGTCTAAGAGAGGACCAGATATCGTAGGGCCCCCATTCTGAAGAGATGGGCGGGCAGTTGATGACGGGTAGAGATGTGTTGGCTGACACGGTTGGGCCCAGGCCGTTACTGCGACCCGCTATTGCTATCAGCACGCATGGAATGTTCTGCCCTGTGTAAGATAGAAAAGTAAAGAGAACTTGAATCTTTAGAAATTGCGCTGTGTATACAAATTGATCAAGTGATTGAATAATAATAATAATAACAATAATAACAATAGTAGTAATAATAACAATGTGACCTTCGTACTCAGAAACGATCTTAAGGGTCATGTCGGGGCCCTTATGAGCAGAGGTCACTCTCAAGACGCACTCCACCCCGTAGCTGCCAATCAACTTTTTTATCTCCTCCCCTAAATTCAGATCAGCTGATGAGCCCATCAGTACCGCGACTTTGCCCCTCGGTTTCCAAGCTAACATCGACTGGTGAAATTATTATTGATGTTGTTGCTATTATTAAATTATTATTATTACTATTGTTATTGTTGGTTGACTGATTGAATAAATAATTGAATAAATGATTGGATAATTGACTGGATAATTGACTGGATAATTGATTGGATAGTTGATTGAATAATTGATTGGATAATTGATTGGATAATTGATTGGATAATTGATTGGATAATTGATTGTATAACTGATTGATTGATTACTTCAAAAGAATAACCATAAGTCTAAAAATCATCCCAAAAACAACCACCACTCTACCATCATCCGATTCATATAGCCAAAGCTGAAACCAGCAATATAAATCAATCTTCGTTTCGCGTCCAGAGTCCCGGTTCCCCGAGGTAGGACGTCGTTTTCTTTGCCATCAAAGTTTTAAAACTAAAACCAGCAGAAGAATAAAATAAACCTGAACTTGGTCGGCCACCCATTTGAAATTATCTTTTATGACCTGTAAGGATTCAGTCGTCACTTCTTTCAGGTCCCTATAAACCTGCTTGTCCTTTGAGGGAAGTTGAAGTTTTTTCTTAAATTTATCGAAAGAACGAAATTTCTAATCTAAGAAACGGTTATAATTTTAGGATGGTAAGGAGGTGTAGTTGTTAAGGAGCCGAGTTCGAATGCGAAAAGATCCGAGTCAATCACATGCAATGTGTGTGTGTGTGTGTGTGTGAAACACACTGATTCGTATCTATACAGACTGTCGCTAAAACCTCTGGGCTTGAAATGAGAAGAATTGCAAGAAGTAATAATATTATTGTTATTATAAATATTATATGATAACTTAAAACCTTCATCAATCTTTTGTCACCAGATGGCCAAAGTCTCCAGGAGTCAGAATCTATAATGTCGGCGAGCAGAATGGTCTCTTGAAAATTTTAAAATAAAATTAAAAAACTAAATAATTAAATTGTTTTTTATTCTCTGCCTGAAAAAAAACTTCAAATTACGATACTGTGATACCAGTAGCACTCCTAACTTTTTTCACAGTCGACGCCAAACTCGATTTTCATGTCAATCAGCGAACAGTTCAGCTCGTTCCAGGACTTTTCCAGAATCTCAAAAACGCACTGGGCTGTCTTGTTGATGATCTCCAGTTGAGTAAGTGTGATCTGGACCCCAGAGAAAGTTAAGTTAGACGTGATAATCTGCTCATATGACCACTGCGGGTCATGCTTGGCATCGTCCTGTATGTTGGTGTGTATGTATATTTGTTAGTGTGTATTATTATTATTATCAAAAGATTTATCTAGCCCTAGTTAGTTCAAATTCAAAAACGCCATCAAAAATTAAAATAGCACACAATTAAACATAAGATTAAACATGTCATCACTAAAATAAGTATGTATGTATGTATGTATGAATGTAGATGTGCACGGTGACAAAAAGTTTTAAAATTCGTTCGACGGAAGATTTTGATCAACAAGTTCAAAAAAATACTCCTCAATCAAAGAAGTGTTCCTCGTAGTATGTTTTAGTTAAAAAGCCAAAAAACGCCCTTGACCTTAAAAAAATATTCCAATTTGACAGGATAAAACTTGAAGCCCTCAGGCACCCCAGGATTTCTTTTGAGGAAGGAGCCAGTGGCCACCCTCCTGATCACAAATTCAATCGGGATCATTTCACACTTGCGAGCCACGAAACTTCTGTCAGTCTGACTCCTCACAAAGTGGGTCTTTATGCCTAATGGTCGAGAAATTTTAGAGAAATTAAAAAAATTTAAAATCTGTGTGTGTGTGTATGTATAAGTTTGTTGTGTGTGTGCGTGAGTTTGTGTGCGTGTGTTTGTTTGTGTGTGTGTAAGTTTATGTGTGTGTGTGTGTTGTTTGTGACAGAAGTTAGAAATAAAACTAGCCAGCTCTATTGAGCAATTCATATACTGCAACATTGGTTGATGTTGATATGACAGCCTTTCCTTCTAACTCATTCGATCTAGCTCCGTCCCCAGCCGTGATACGATCTTTTGAATGTATCAGGACCAAGTTTGGGTCCTCTTCTAATTCATAGATCACTTTTGTCTTTCCTTCATTCAGTCTTTTGACCTTCAATCCATCCACTAATCAGTTTGAGATTTTCATTATGGTGTAGAGTAGATGTAGGGTAGATATGAAAATAACAAATGTAGAAATTTTAAAATGGATTTTTAATAATTTAAATCATATTCATATTCAATCAAATTTTAACATCCAAACTTTATCATTATCAACACTTTTTTCTACATAAGGAGACAATTACGTTACAATTGATTGAAATTCAAAAAGTTCATGAAAAAATTTAAAAAAAGTCATCCCACTTTCCATCTTTGATATTTTAGATCTTTGATAACTCAGTCAGATGAGCAAATAGGATTGCCGTCCTGACAGATTTTTGAAAATTTCATTTTTAGTAAAAAAAAACAATTAAAAATAAAACAAAGAGTATTTGAGTAGAGATAGATCATGGTGGGGCCCTGATGAATTGATAATGAATCTAAAAATTTTCATAATTTAAAAAAATTCCGGCTATAAACGTGTATATTGTGATCTGCCTAATAATTCCCTAATTGTTATTGGGGCGTAAAATTCCGGCACACCCAAGCAAATCCAAATGCAACAAAGTTTTTTATTTTTTAAAAGTTTGATCTTTGAATCACGCCAAATAACTGAATAACGTCTAATGAAAAAAAAATTTATAAATTAACAATTAAATAATAAACAATATTATGAATAAAATTATTAAAAATTATTAAAATTTGAAGAACTTTGATTGAAAAACTCACTGAATACGGCACGTGCAATCTACAGCTACACGCTGTTTTCCTGCTATTAATTCAACTAAAAATGGATCTTAGTAATAAAAATTCAAGTATACATGTAAATATGTAAATTAAATTTTTTATATTATTTAGTAAATCTTAAATTTGTTCAAACAATACCAATTTGTTATTTGTCAAATTTTTTTTCTTTTTCGTGCCTTATCCTTTCAGGACATTGGCGACCACCGACCCCCACAAACCCGATCTTTAAGACTTTGTAGTATTTGAAATGTGGTGACATTCAACAAGTGACAAAAGGACTCCACGAATGTTATTCGTTGTTGCTGATCGCGATCTCTTCTCCCTGCAATCTTTCCAGTAGTTGTTAGATTTTCCATTCTTTCCTTCCGCATGATGTGATAAAAAAAACTTAACTGCCCCTGTCGGATTATCTATAGTAATTTTCTCTTTTTATAACCGGACTGTTTTAATACATCCTCATTTGAAGTATGAGAGGCCCAACTAATTTTCATAACTCTTCTCAAAAACCACATCTCAGCAGCATTTGTTAAACTATTGTCATTTATTAATAAAAATATTTTCACCTTCCATAAATCTTGTCACAATCAACTCTTTGGACATTTAAATTTTCAATGGCGGCTTATTTAAATTTTGTAGTGTAGAGCTGTTTCAAAATGGAAGGCAACTTGCGACCTTTTATAATGGCCGTAGTCCTAATCAATAGTAAATTTTTTTTTTCAAGATGTTCTTAAAGAAAGCGCCGTTGAGTTTGCCCCAATTCTCTACTTTTATTTTACATTTTTTTAAAAATCCATGTTTTAAATTTATTATTAAATTAAGAGAAAAAATCAAGGACATTATCCTCATGATGATTATCCACATTTTTATGATTTATGTTGAGAAAATGTTGAAGACTACTTCGATTTTTATGTATTTAGAGTTTAAAATAGAATTTTTTAGACATATTTTCTCATAAATTTCAATTTTTAACAAAAACATAAACATTTGAAGACATCTCTTAACTAACAAGAACATAAATATTTGAAGACATAATTGGAGCTTTACTTTAAACCAATTAGAATATATTTTTACTGCATAAGAAATTTGGGAACATTTAATTAAACTTGCAATAAAACTTGCCTAAAACTCATAAAAGTCATCTTCTAAATTGTTAACACTACAAAACTAACAAGCTTAACCGGCCCCTAACTTGAAATCACCAAAAATAATGATCAAAAATAAATTTATTCGTAATTTATTCGTAATAATAATATTGATATATTATAAATAATATTTTTATATTATAAATAAAATTGTTATATTATAGGTAATATTGTTATATTATTATTCTCATTTATTTCCATTGTTATTTATTAAACAGACGTGTTGGTGATTTTACCAAACAAGTCAGGGAATAAGGAACCCAATGGTTATGGCCGCAACTTATTATTCTTCTTATTATTATTCTTGTGATTATTCCTATTGTTATTAAAGTTATTGTTTTTAATGATTTTAGGATTAGGAGATGATTGCAAATTCATCATTCATATTTTTATTCATTCATTCATACATACATACATTCAGTCATTCTTTCATTCATTCGTTTATTCATACGTTCATTCATTCATACAGCTGAACTTGGTTATATAGTATTAAAGAACGATGCTAATTATAACAACTCTAGCAGGCAATCGGCATTTGAGGATGTTGTGTTTGTTTACGACATTCGTAATTCCGAAACTTACGATTACTTCAAAAGTTTGTATTTCTCTGCAGTGTTCTTATCAAAAGTCAGTAAAACTAGATATAGAAGGGAAAAGACTTTTCAGGTTAACAAAAAATTGGTTGCCAGCCTAATTTTAGCCACACTAGCGACTATTTAGTTGTGGTTACTTTCTCGGCCTCCGTCAAATTTAGAAATTTCAACATATTTAAAATTTTGACCAACTCCCTCCAACGTTATATTGATCCACTGCTGTGGAGTTTTACTTTTGAAAATGAGGGCACGGAAAACCGATTTTTATGACAAAAAAACGCTTTCCTTTAATCAAAGTTAAAGTTGTCAGTTTTTTAATCGATTTAAAAGTTTTTTACGGTAATTTAATAAGAATCCATTTTTAATGGGGAAAAATTCGCCAAAAAAGGTTGACTAGATTTGTTAATAGATTTGCTAGGACAGCTGGTTTAGTGATCTGTTGGAAAACACTTTCTCCTATATCTAGTTGTGGGTTTTCTTTCTCTCTCTCTCTCTCTCTCTCTCTCTCTCTCTCTCTCTCTCTCTCTCTCTCTCTCTCTCTCTCTCTATCTCTATCTCTTTCTCTGTGTGTGTGTGTGTGTGTGTGTGTGTGTGTGTGTGTGTGTATGAGTTTGTGTATTTTCATTTTTCCATCGCCAGAGCGGATGACGACCAGCGTTTTACTGATCATCGCTTTCATTCTCCTCTTCACGTTGATCAGTGTCTTAGAGTTTTACATTGAACAACAGAAGTTAGTGGAAAATAATTTATTATAATATTATTATCATAATTATAATAATAATAATTATTCATTATTTCTTTCCTTCATTCATTCGTTCGTTCATCTGTCCATTATTTATTCATTTGTCGGAACCAACGTACCATAATATTATTTTTCATTCATCCATTCATTCATTCATTCATTCATTACTCCATTCATTCATCTATTCATTCATTCATCTATTCATTCATTCATCTATTCATTCATTCATCTATTCATTCATTAATCTATTCATTCATTCATCTATTCATTCATTCATCTATTCATTCATTCATCTATTCATTCATTCATCTATTCATTCATTCATCTATTCATTCATTCATCTATTCATTCATTCATCCATTCATTACTCCATTCATTCATTCATTACTCCATTCATTCATTCATTCATTCATTCATTACTCCATTCATTCATTCATTACTCCATTCATTAATCCATTAATTCATCCATTCATTCATTAATTCATCCATCCATTCATTCATTCATTAATCCATTCATTCATCCATTCATTCATTCATTCATTACTCCATTCATTCATCCATCCATTCATTCATTCATTCATTAC